CTCTCTGACATCTTTGCCCAACACTAAAAGTCCTCTTCCACATGACCAGCAAAGTGGCCTTCCTACAGTATCAGCCTGTCCTTGTTGAAGCTCAATCTCCTCAATGATGTCCCTTTTCTTTCTAGATAAGATTCTGAAATCCTTATGCTCTCTCCTTAAACACTTTAATCTCACCACCCACATTTAAAAGGCACCCTATACATTTTTGCTCTTCTTATTTATTATACCCCTGCACAAATACATGGTTCTGAATTTTCTCAAGACAACACTTTTATTCAAAGCACTCTCCATTTAAAATTGTTGATGAACACTTAAATTCAATTAAGAGTTCTGAATTCTAAAACATGAAAATTACTAGATCCCTTAAATTGACATATTTACAGGTAGGCAGTTATATACAACACACACACAGTGTGTATTCTTTTTTCCTTAGAGATATTAAGACACCCATAAAAATCTAGGCTTATGGTGCACATCTGCAATCTCAGCTACTCTGGAGGCTAAGGCAGAAGGATCACAAATTTAAGGCCAGCCTGGGCAACATAGTGAGACCTTATCTTAAAAAAAAAAAAAAGGATGAGGATGTAGCTTGGTGGTAGAGCACTTGCATAGCATACATGAGTACATGAGGCCCTGGGTTGAATCCCCAGTACTGCAAAAATAAGTTAATGGTTAGATAGATAAATGAATGAATGGATAAAATTTCCCAAGAAAAAAAAATTACTTATTTCATAATAGTGAAAGTATATAATAAAAATAAGTGCATGTAAATATATTTAAAATCAGTTGTACAAAGGAAACAAGATAATCATGAAAAACGATTATTCCATAATTTACTATTTTCTAATAGTTTAAAATTTGCATCTGTTATGAATTTCAAATCCCTGTTTGATAAAACTGCTAAAATCAATTTGGGCTATAAAGCACCTGACATTTGTTGAGAGGCCACATATCTCATAAACCTCTGTCAGTATATAGGTTCAATGTACGGGGATGAAACTTCTAGAAGAGGAGGGAGCAGGGGCAAGACCTGCTGTGTGAGGAACTGGAGTTCTGAGTCTTGTCTTGGTCATGGCCTGTCTCTCAGAGATCTAAGAATGACCTAATTAATTAGCCTTTCAAGATGAATCAGCTTCAGAGTGAGGGGCTTTGATTACATAAGCCTTTAAGGTCCTTGCCAGTTTTGAAATTTGAATAGGAAGCTATGACATACTCACAGATCAGAAAAGCCCCTCCAGAACACGCTTTGTGAAGAATCAGGTACATGGCATCTCTCAACACATAATTTAAAGACCACTTAGGTGTCTAGATTTGATAAGCCTCCCCCTCTACATTCTTGCAAGCCTCCATCTTCAGGTGCTAACATCTTTAGCATCTTCTCTGCCTTGACAGTGTTTAATATTTTCATATAGTGTAAATTGAGTTGCTCTAGTCTGAACCCAAAAATTTAGCAAAGCATTCAACAACAACAACAAAAAAAAATCTCCTTGCTTTCAGGTTTGCAGGAAGACACTTCCTGACACCTCCCCAGCTTTCCACTGGCAGGCACTAAAGACTGCATGAGAGAAGGCTAGAAGAATGGATGGGGTGTGCTCCGCATCAGTTTCCTGTGTTATAGCTTTAGCAAATGTCTGCAGTAAAAGCCCTGGATAGAGTTGGCTGTAACAGACAATTTAAGACATCTACATCATCAGGGTCATAGCAAGCACTTGGACACTTTTTTCTATAGTGGAGCTTTAATGTATTCTATAGGATTATAAATGAATTGGATGGGCTTCATCATTTTGGACCACGTTTTGCTTTATGATGCGCTGCGAGTCAGAGTTTCTACAGTTTGACTTAGAGCTCAGTGGCACAACCAATAAAATACATGGAGAAAAAAAGTCCTCATTCTACAGTGTATCGACCCAAAAGCCATCCCAATATTATATAATTCTGCTGGTATTTGGACTTATCGGCTTCATGCGGCTCTCTTGTAAACTTTCCTTTAAAAAGAACCCCCTTGACATATAGTGACTATTGTACTCCTGTCAAATACAAGTAGGGTCCTGCAAAGATGATGGGAAAAAAATGAATCTATCTGCAGGGTGAGCCTGTCTACATTGTTGAGCTGAAAAATAACACAATATGTTCCATATAACTCAAGCCAAAGGATTCTCATTCCCTAAATCAGAAGTCCAAAAATCATAGAGAAAATCCAGCAATCCAACTGCAGTCTGCTTTGATTTGATGCTGCATGTTTGTTGGAAGACATGTAAACTTTGGAACCAAATTGGAAAAATGGACAAAGATGTTATTTACTGGGGCTAGGGCTGGGGCTGTCACTCACTGGTGTGGCATTTGCCTAGCATGCATTGGGTGCTGGGTTCCATCCCCAGCACGGCAACAAAACCAAACAAACTACAAAACCAAACCAAACAAACCCAGATGTGATGCACTGAAAAAAGAGACAACTGGCCCAACCAGCCTGAATCCAGGAAGTGTGAGATCCCTCCCACAGGTCCCTGACCCCCAGCCACCTGGATCTCCAACTCCTCCTGTCACTTACCCTATGACGATACAGGAGATGGCCGTTCCCAAGAAGGCATATGTTAAAATAGATCCCAAGTTTTGAAAAAAATGTCTCTGGGGAGAAAAAAAAACAAAACAACAAAAATAAAACCTTCATGGAGCACATCTGCATTTACAGTGGAACAGGAAATAAAAACAAATGTATGCTTTTCCCAGCCCTGACCTTCCTTATGGTTTAGATAAATTTTGTTTTTGGAGCTTCATTCCTGGCCTTACTGTGCCCATGGAAACTTAAGTGATTTCATTGCAAGGGACAAAGGAAAAAGGAAAGAAACAGAGAAAAAAAGCCATCTGGAAGACAACAGGGTAGGGATGAGGCAACTTCCAGAGCTCACTGGACTGAGAAGGAGGGAAGGGACTGGGGGAATGACCATGCAGGACTCTGGGACATTTCATGGAGGACACTTCAAGTTTTATTGTGCATGCAACTCCTTATTTAAAAAACTATCGTAAGAGATTTAAGTTGCCCTTGGACTTTCGTGAGCTCTGGCTTCTTTAACTTGTATGTTTTCTGAATGAGAGGAAACTCATTTTTAAAAAACCTCAACAATTTAAAGAATCAAACATGAAAGGATGCCTGGTATTGGGGCTACCCATGAAGGTGGATGACCTCAATCCATTCAGCCTGCTAGATCTTCTCAAAGGCTTGCTTAAGAAAACTCCCTTTCAGAGCTTTAGTGGGATCTGAGTAGCCAGCACTGACAGCAAGAGGGAGCCTGGAGCACACACATAGCCATCAGATCTGTAATGGAGAAGCTGCCGGCCACCAGAGAAGAGAGGCCAAAGGGAGGACAGTCCCAGGAATTTCCCGGGTCCGGACTAGGTAGCTGAGAAGCAGCACATTACTTCTGCATCTCAGGGCCAGGGCCTCACCCTGTGGCACAGAGTATGTGAATTGCTAACCCATGAAATGTGCAGTCAGGCTGAGCCTCAGTGGTGTTAAGTAAAGAGAAACTGCAAAACCAGGCTTTCCCTCTGTGAATGTCAATAGCATTTCCTTCGTTTATACCCTGATGGAAAAACCCAATATTACAGCATGAGATCTTTCATTACAATCACCTAGAATAACACTGCCCAACAGAAACATAATGCAAGCCATGTGTCATTTAAATATTTCCAGCCACGTTAAAATAAATTTAAAAATACTTTTTAAATGAAGTTTGATAACGTTTCATATCACTCAATATATATAAAATGCTAACATTTCTACATGAAATCAATATAAAATATTATTGAGATAGTTTACATTCTTTTCCTAAATACCAAGTCTTTTGAAATCTGCTGGACATTTTACACTTAAAGAGCATCTCAATTCTGACTAGCCACATTTCAAGGGATCAATAGGTTCACATGACTAAGGCCTGGGT